ACGGCATATATTTGACTTAAATCGGACAAATGTACACAAAGTTAATATATTTTGAAAAATCAATATATCTGCCTTGGCATGACATAAATATCTAAAATATTTCCATTTTTGTTTGCACGTAAAGAATTCATTTTGATTACACATAAGACATAAATTTTAACAAAATTTTATACAAAAAAAAAAGATGATATTGGTGTTAAGCTCTCATGTACCTTTATCGCACGATATAAAAGTATTCATAAAAAATTATTCTTTTCGTGCTATTTTAAACCTTTTCCATTTTACTTTATTGAATTGCCTTATTACCATTCGTATGAAGTGTTTGCAAGCATAAATGCACATATACGTGTACATATAGTTTTAAGAGGAAATCACGTTCTTACGCATACAACTACAAAAGCGTAAAAAAGTCAAAAGTATGCACATTAAAATTAAATGCTGACAAAGGTGAAAAGTATTTCACAGCATTGAAAGTTTTATTTTGTTGATTTCGTTGAAAAGTTTTCCACCTATATTTTCACCTCTCATTTTTGCCAGACATGGCAGCAGCATGAAATGAAATTAGGTCACGCAACTTAAAATCCTTCCTTACAATTTCCGCTTACGCATTTTGTCAATTTCGCTTAATTTATTTTTTTCACATTTTTTGCATTTTTATTGCTATCATGAAGTGAACCTATATATAAATATCTATATATATATATATATTAAAGCTGCCACACATTTTACTAATTGCCTTATTATTACAAGTTAAATATGTATTACATGGGAATAGTTATAATAGTTGCGTATACGCCATGTGCGTGCTGCACGTTGCAATTCATGCCTAGACTACGTATTACATATATATAGTGTTTATATTTATATACATACAAAGACACGTGTAGAGCATCAAAATATTTTGCTTAAATAGCAATAAAACATATCACTTAGCGGAAGTGTACACTTATATGTATATGCTTATGTGGTTGTTTGTATAGAGATATATGCAATATCTTTGCCTATCTCCTCCTTACTATCACACTTAATGCCTGATAATGAGTATAGATTAAAGCAACAAAAATTGCGCCATGAAAACTTTGCTCTCATCTCGCAACTCGGCTTACGTGCTTTTGAAAATTACTTCACGAACACTCATGCATGAGTACACACAATCGCACACATGCAAGCAATCATGCACACATGTACATTTTGTTGTTGTGCTTAACACTTGACTACGTTCATCTCATTAAATTCGTTTAATGTGTGGCGCCAGCTACGCGCCATCTTATCAACACTTAACGCACATTCTCACAATGTTTTCAATTTTTTCTTTCTCTCTTCTTCTTCTTCTCTATTTGCCGTAGTTGTTTATTTGATGTTCGGTTTGTAGTTGGTTAAAATTTGCATGCAGGATATTTGGCTTAAAAAGATGTACATATATGCACGTATAAATATGTACTTTGAAGTATAGCGTCATGAAGAGTTGAAGGGTTAATGATTATACGAGAACACGTTAATTTGCTACGAGTACTCACTGGGCACGTAGCAAATATTTGTAACAAAAGAGAAAGTTGTTGTTATCGTTCAGAGAAAGTAGAAAATATTTCTTGTATTCATCCCAAAAAGGTAGATTTCCTTACACAGACGAGCAGTGATCCATTTCATGGCCTCACAATTGCTTAATGAGGTCTAGTAATTGTAATTGGGATCTACTTGACTTTCGAATGGTATAATTAGTACAATTCTTGTTTAAATTACAACTACATGAAAAAGTATGATTAAATACTCATCGTTTTCACCAATACCCCTTTTTTGGCTTAAGCATTCATATCAAATTTGTTTAAAAAAAGTTAACAATGAGTTCGAGTAAGATAAGTTTGTTTTTATAATTAAATTAGCTCACTTAACTGCATACTTGTAACAATTGTAATACGAAAACCCGTACATTCACCAATAGCTGCTTGAGAGTTACATATTGGTCAAGTAAAAAGTTCGTTCGGTTTTTATCTGAGAGAAGGTGTTGATACTACTAATGTTGCGTGCCGCATCACATCATACTATAGGCCGCTGAAAGCGTGTTTGTTCGCGCTAAGAGTTTATCTTTGACAGTTTTTCGATTGATTGACTCAGTACGTTCTGAGCGCTCGTCAAAGATGGACACCAGCAGAGAGAAAATTCGCTGTATTTTACAATCTTTCTTCGATCAAGGCGAAAAAGCAGCCAAAACGGCTGAAAAAATTAATTTAGTTTATGGGCCCGAAACTGTCAACTAATGTGCAGCACAAAAATGGTTTGCTAGGTTCCATTCCGGTAATTTCGATGTCAAAGATGCACCACGCGTCCGGAGGCCTGTCGTCGACAATTGCGATAAAATCATGGGAATAGTGAAAACAGACCGTATCGTAAGCATTTATTTAATTGCTGAGGAACTAAAGGTAAGCCGGAAAACCGTTTGAAACCATTTGTCTTTGATGAATCGTAATGAAATCGACCCGTTTCTGAATCGGACTGTAGCTGGCGATGAAAAATGAGTCACCAACGACAACAATCGAGTGCAAACGGTCGTGATCAAAGCTCGGGGAAGCGGCCCAGATGGTGGCCAAGACCGGATTGATGGCCAGGAGAGTTTTGCAGTGTGTTTGGTGGGATTGGCAAGGAATCATCTGCACGAGCTGCTCCCCTATGACCAAACGCTCAATTTGGCCCTCTATTGCCAACAAATGGACCGCTTGTAGGCAGCACTCTTTCAGAAGAGTCCATCTTTGATCGACAGGGGCCGAATTGTGTTCCATAAGGACAACGCCAGGCCACTCACGTCTTTGTTGATGCACCAGAAGCTTCAGGAGCTCGGAATGCGCTTAATGGGGAGAAGTTGTTTGTCAACAGAGACGCAGCCTTCTATGACAGAGTTATAATGAAGCTGGCATCTCGTTGGCAACAAGTTTACACACAAAACTGTGCATATTTGACTTAAATCGGACAAGCGTGCCCAAAATTATCAAATTTGGAAGAATCAATAAAAAAACAGAACGAACTTGGGAATGTAACTATTCCAGGAAAGGCATTATCCAATTAATGCTTCTGAACATAAAAGAACCGGTAGTTACAGCGCTTTAAAAAATCTACAAGTGCAGTATCCAACTATCTACGAGTGCATTCCAAGAAGAGAGAGAAGTGTACAAGTAATGTTCCTACCAAAATCAGATGAAAAAACATATGATATTTTAAACCTATAAGCCTCAATTCCCTTATATTAGAGATTGTATAATGTGTGATTAAGCCCAGCAGATAAGAAAGGCACACGATCAACAAAAACTATTATATATATATTTGGTTGGATCTAAAATAATTGTAGACACAATGACACAATTTAAATAAATCGGGCCATATCCTTCCAAGTCCAACGATCTTGACATCTCCCCCTCTCTCTCTCTTTCTCTCTATCCATCTACCAAGCCCAGCTAGCATCTTTCAAGCATTAAAACTAGATATAGAGAAGGCCTATGGAGCCCTGGAATTACAAAAGAGAGTACAAAAAGTCATCACATAAATAGACAACTAAGTTGCATTGGTGGCCTTGCCGTCGCCAAAGGTTGAGTTCAGTGTAGTTCAAAACTGCATGAATGCCTTAACAACACTGACTGGTAAACTTCAACTATCGATAATCTGGGTTCCTAGAGACTTAACCAGTAATGAATAATCAGACGAGTGGGCTAAATCAGGAGCAAGCTTACACGATTTTGAAGCGAAATTAATACGCTCAACAGATGAAAATCTTTGACCAATTGCAAAATATCGAATATACAAAATTAATGGGAATAAAGAAGTTTCTCTGTTAATGATCAGCTCGGACTGCAGCAGAGACCAAACCTTGGATGGCTGACTACAAAAAGCATAGCATGTATGTACATATGTTTTGTAAAATGATGTGATAAGGATGCAATACAAGATTTATCGCATTCCGTTCCGCCATCAAAATAATTAAATTGTAAGATATAGTGACGGATAATTTTAGTTTGAAAGAAATTGTTGTCTTGTTGGTAAGATAAATGATTTATGCCAATTATGCCAATCGGCGAGTAATTTAATTAATTTAATGAATTATTTTGTATCTTCCACCTGTGCGTTTCCATCTCGGTAAGGATGGAGAACGGATTAAAGAGAAAGATTTTACTCCTAAATCGGATATTGGTATTTCATTCTCCCTTTTGTAGAATCTCCACTCTAGCGCTGGTAGCAAGTAATTTAACACCAATAGTGATTCCCACAATATCTGCTTAGAGGAAAGAGTTGTAGTCACTAAGTTTGATGCTGCATTGTTTACTGGAGCGGCCACAGAAAAAATTTGCTCTCTTTGCTACCTCGCAGTTTGACCCATATGAGTATTTTCACTATATAATGTGACACTACTTCATGAGTATCGTCATGCTAGTGTTCCAAATGATAGTATGGGCCTTACAAATTTTGTGTAAAACTCATTTGGAGACGTTATGCACTATATCCCGCTTACAGAGACTGACTGACTTTCATGAAGAAGACTGGAGTATTTCAATGTGTTTAAGTAACCGCTGGACTAGATAACCGTTGTATTCCTTAGTGCATATCTTACGGCATTATAAGTAAGTAAGTTATTAGCAGCTCCCTCTATATCAGGCAGCCAGAGACAATAGTCGTTACTACATAGGGCCTTTTATCAATGCAACCAGTTTTTGTATTGCGGTTTCCTATGATTTATCCATTTGGTATGCTTGTTTTTGGATAAAAAAAATTACATCCCGAGCTCTATTGTGAAAGTACTAATTTTATTGAGAGGGCGCTCTTCGGTAAAATTAGTTTACTATTTGGTAACTGTTTGGGTTGGCTGTATTTGAAAGGTTCATTAACCTTGTTCACTTGTCAAGCAAACATTTTCTGCAAATCCTAGTAGTTTTATTACATTTAAGAAATATTAAAATATAATATTAATATCAAAACAAAAATAATATATATATTTATAAAAATTCTTCTCTTATTTTTAGCCTCGAATATTCGATACCAGATCACAGGCGGTAACATAGGCAATGCCTTTGGCGTGCAAAATACAACTGGTGCGATTTACGTTGCCAGTCCACTCGACTATGAAACCAGACCAAGGGTAAGTATTTACATGAGTGTACTTATATTTACAAACATAAATATATAAATGCAATGGTATGCTTTTATTTGCGGCTGCATTCATAGTTATGTAAATACGTATAAAATATTCCGAACTCACATAACTTCATATAAATACATATGTACATGCTCTGCTTGAAAACATAGGCTGCTAATAGCATACACTTTTGAGAATTTCCATAAGTACTTAAGTATTTTTTAAACAAACATTACACGTGCCAACGGCCCCAACAAAAGAATTGAATTAGGCCACTGGCTGTGAGGCTAATAATAAACATTTCATTCTGAGAATGGAATTTAAACAAACTTAAATTTCCAAGTATAACTGGAGTTTATTTACATAATTGTTGCTACTTTTTTCTACAATATTTAAAAACAAAAAACATTTTTTTTTCTTCATCTTTACCAAAAGCTGTGAAGCCTTTATGCTTTAAATCACCGCCAGCAATAAATAAGTTTACCTGATTTTCTTTCCATTTAATTACTTTAGTTAGCTTAATTTTTTTTAATATTCATAAATGAGAATGAAAAGGTTATTAGGTATTTATATATTAAACTTAACATGGGACACTTTGAAGTGTAGTAAAAGGATTTTCTTGTAAGAAATGCAAATTTTTTTATGCCATAATTTTTGAAATCGTAAAATTAGCTCTTATACCCCAGCGTAATTTTCACACACCACGCTTGAGTGCACTGGCACGCGTGAGGGACGCTTGTAATGATGCCGACGCTGGACACGTCAGAGCTACAGCCTTGATGAAACAGGCCAACAACCCATTGAGAATCATGTCTGTAAAAATGCCAACGAACTTGTAACATGCATACGCCATCCCACCTCACGTCACACCGCCTTAACTCGTGTAGAAATGCACATTCACTTTCATTTTAGTCCTTACTCTATTTTCAACATATTCACTGATGAGTGCGAACCCGGTCATGCACGCATGCATATATTATATTTTATACGAATATATATATATACATATATGTACATATGTTCGGAAGCACAGTGGTATTAACGCCGGCAAAAACAAATATTTCAAAAATAAAAGTATGATTAAGACTTATGCTTGACCCAAACTGGTGGTATCTGTATATTTGACAAGAAAAATAAACGCTTTTCGCAAAAATATTCTCGAAGGAGGCGGTTTACATCTACAGGATTATCCAGAGGAGAAGCTCCGCTGAAAATCGCTCAAAGAATAATGTACAGTGCAACCTTCAAAAGGAATCCGGTACAATATTTTGTTCATTAACCATTGCTTTTTATTGTGACCTCATTTTTGTAAAGACCTTGAAGTATGATTTGCAAAAAAAACAGTCACGAAGCCTTCTCCACACATGTCTTTACGACATTTTGTATTTTTACCCCATCCAAGGATAATAAATGAACATCAGACACTACACTATTTTCAATGTTCGAACCATGACATTATCTGTGAAAAACTACATCATTCAAATGCCAATCGCTTATGTAATTTTCCAACCCATAACTTGAAAAAAGTTTATTTTGAAGTGCTCAAGAGTTAAAGGTTTATCAGTATAAACACCATCATTCGCCTAGTCTAACCAATATGGCATAACCAAGACTAGAGATTACGGAACATATTGTTCAAATCCTTATCGTACGACCATTGGGCTCCGAACTGATAGTGGCCGTCTCGCCGCTGTCGTTTTCAAAGAAGTACGATCTAACCACATTTCCGACCAAAGAATGCAGCATACAATAACTTTATTTTGCAGTGGAAATGGACTCTATTCAATTATTAGAATATTCTCGGAGTTTCAAATGCGACAATTTTTCTCATTTGCGTGTCCCCCGAGTGAGAGATATGCCTCGCCGCTGAAGAAATTTTTGTTCGAAAAATCGCCACTCATTGCTAGTTGTTAAAGCACCTCAAGCAACGTATTTACGACATTGTGAATAGTCAGCTGACTTCAGTTGTTGTGTGAGCTGGATTTTATATGGATTTAGGTGACAGTGCAAGTGCAAAATACGCAATAATATGTTGTCAAAAAGTCCGAGCTGCCAGAAAAAGATAAAAATTAATCCTTATTATAAATTTGCGAGCCAAAGTTCTTCGCGAGACTAAGGAATTTTTTATTATAAATATAAAACTTTTGAATTTCAATATCTTTTAAAAAGAAAAAATATACTTCGCTTGTGAGATGTGAGATCAATTTACAAATTGAAGTCCACTGTACCACATGGTACACATACCAAATCACTGAGGTCATATTTGCCAAGTATGCGTCAGTGTTTAGAGGGATGTGACCGAGTCACTGCGTGCAACATCAAATGGCAAACCCCACATCATATACTCATAGACTTGATATGAACATTGAGGTGTATGTGTAGACATACGTGCATGATACTGCGCCCGATGCCAAATAAAGTTTTGTGTTTGAAATTCTACACTCAGTTTAGTTGCCAAATTTTCGAAATTTTTCTAAAGAGGAAACAAAAATGTGTTCACACGGACTTTTTGGCAAGAATTTTTGGTAGGAAAATATTAAATATTTCGATTCCTCACAACTTCGTTCTTTAACCAGATTTAATAAAAATATTATATATATATAATTAGTATAAATTTATTAATTTTTAGTAATGAAATATTTTATATGATTGAGTTTAATTTACTTTATACATCTTTTTCTTGAAGCAAATTTTTAAATTATTAATTTATTAATTTTCCTTTTTATTTCAAACAGTACGAACTACGTTTGGAAGCGTCGCGAAATCGCAAAACCAATTACACCACCGTCGTCATCAATGTACGCGACGTCAACGATAATCCACCGTCATTCGATCGTCAAACATATCGCACACAAATCACAGAGGAGGATGATCGAAATCTTCCCAAACGCATATTACAGGTAAGAAAGTTTTAGATAAAAGTGTAAATCAGAGTGGAAATGATGGTGAAGTAAATTAGGGATATAAAATATAGTACAGTAATTTTTTATAATTATTGCCATGATGCATATTTCCATACAAAATTAAAATGTAGAAACTATGGTATTTCCTACCAGCATATTTTTTTTTGCTTTTTGGATAGCACTTCATTTATTTGACTACAAAATCAGCTCTAAGAAGCATTACAAATGACTAATTTTCATTGTGGGCATAATTTAATGAGGTCTTGAACTGTAGTTTTTGTAGACCAGTCGTTCTTTAATCACGGTAAAAATTCTCAACTTTATCAACTCATAGGCCTTTCACATAAATAGCACTTATTTGTACTTTCCTACAAAGAATTTAGTGTGCAATACTTGCAATATTATTCTCTCACTGGCCTTTTAAGTGACTCCGTTTTAGGATTCTATCCGATGAGAATTGGGAGGAAGACCAAAAATCGCCGACTAAGATGGTAATAATTCCTTTGTATGTTTTCCCTTTGCCTTTTTGTACATGAAGTGCTCCCTTCCAGTGGTGGTATGTTCTGCTTTCTACTTTAAGTTAGACATTCTCACCTTGTCACTTGACTCTCGAGAGTTCACAAAGATCTACAAAACTTTACTCGATTTCAAAATGAACTTGTTTTGGTCTTAAGCGATCTTTTTACAGAATACAACAGACCTAATTTTTCCAATTTAATCATAGCCAGCTGTCTCACACTTAGCGCTGTTCAGGCCAGCTGTAGCATGTTTCGCCGAGGATGATCACCATGAGCAAGCCCTCTCGTAACGGTTTTTTTTTGTAGCTGAACCTTACTCTTTTGGTGGATTTCCACAGTAAGGGAGTTAAAGTCGTAACTGAAACTCCACCACACTCCTCGAGAGCTGAGCGTAATTTGGTGATAAATCTCACGAAACGTTGATTTTCTGTAATCTTCACGATCCTATTCAATTTAGAGAGCTCTCCTGAGCCCTAATCCAGCCTAATAGCTTACTGTGAATCTCCGGACTCTGATATAGTCTCTTTTGAAAGTTTTACCATGAAGCCGTTAAGCCAGGTATGTGCAGATTAGTTTTTTTTTCCTAGCGAAGACCCTTTAACACTGTCTTTTAGTTGTCAAGACATAAAAGCTGGAGCACCCTGTATATATATGTAAATATAATTGGGAACTTGTAACCGCTAAGGCGGTTATACTAACTTCTTCCGAACGGCTGATGGTTTTTTATGAGGAGCTTTATTTTATGTCAGAAATACAGAGGGGTTGACATTCCCTGACGAGGGGTGACCACTATTAGAAAATTTAACTTATTTTTTTAAATAAATTAATTTTTATTAACTTTTGGATGTTGGTCGTACCAGGATTTAAACTATGACACCACAGCGGTGATTTTACTTAACTTCTCAAAAATATTTAGAAGTGAACGACAATCAAAAAGCTTTGGATTTTGGCCTTTCTTTATTGACATTTTAAATTAGTTAAAGTAAATATAAAAAGCCAAAAATATTATTTAATCAGGTAATCAGCAATGACACCGTTCAAATACCATACCTGCATGCTTGTCATATCTGAAACGGAAATACTAGTTTTTTCCAGAAGTCGCTGTAAACTGAAATACATTTATAAAACAGAAGAAAAATTAATTGACAGATTTTATAAGAGCTTATTAAGCTGTATAACATGAAAGCTGCTTATTATGCAATGATCCGATCATAGATTTCATAAGCACAGTTGTATAACAGGAACACACATAAATCGATTTTCATGGAAACTAACATATGTTAGCGCATACGTGCTTATGCATATGTACATATATGCAAAGAGCTTTCCCATATACTATATTCGAGACATTTATAACCTTTTTTTTAACAGTATTAATGCAAAACTGCTGTCGTTTAAATGCATTTGATTGAATTGTGAGCTGCCAACTGACGTAAAGCGTTTACCAAAGCTGCTAAGCTGCATAAGCGAGTTGAAAAGCATTTAAGTGTAAATGCACATGCATATGTACAGACATACATACCTACACACATATATATGTACTTAATACCACAACACGTAAATGTGATTTCATGCGATTTACCTTTAATTTCCCAGCAACTATGGGGATTTTTCGAAAACGTACACAATTTATGCGCCTGAATAATACCGAAAACAACTAGCAAATGCGCCATTGCCGAAAATAAATAAATATTATTGTAAGCAGAAAATAACAATGCTGTTAAAAATGGTAAGCAAAAAATAGAAAATGGACTTATGCACCGTTATATGAATGTGTAAATGCGCACCGAAAAGCTTTCGATCGTCGACAGTATAATGAAACGCGAAAAGTGTGAAAATAGCTTCGCGAGCGATTGGATGGGTTTTTTTTTTTTGGGAATTTCTATTCTTGTTATTCTTTGGCGTAAAAAAAGATTTGCTTATAAAAAGTTGAAAATTGCCTTTATGTATATTTACATCAAGCAAACGCATTAATATCGAATCGCGCGTGCCCGCACACATGTACTCGTACATATGTGGATGTGCGCGTGAGCCAGTTGGCGTCATAAATTGCCAAACATATGCAATGAAATGAAGTTAACAATAATTTTTTGCTGCATATTGCATGTCACGCAGCTTCTCATACATTTTTTTAAATTTTTTGCCTTTATAAATGAAATCTCTGTACCTAACAAAAACATGAAATGTTTTTTTTAAATGAAGAATAATACAGAGATACTCTCCACTTTCAATGCGTATGTATTGTAAATATCCGTTGAAAAAAATTGCATTTTTATGTAAAAGAAACGAACGTAAAAAATTGAATATGCGCATAAATATTTAAATATTTAAGGCCACTTTTTACCTTTTGTCACATAATTTTCATTTTCAATTATTTTAAGTTTGATTTTTTTTTAATTTATCAGCACTCTTATCAACAACAAGTCATGAGAATATCCAAATACCAGCATAGGCGTATATATATTTATGTATATTTAAACAAAACTTCACATATGCTGTTATTATTTCTCTGTGTACGCTTTAAAGCCGCATTTATAAAAGTGCATATGCAACTGCCATAAATCTCGTTGGTATTTAATAAAAATCTCAACCGACTTCAGCCATCATTTCCAAACAATTTCGAACTCTGTGTATGGATCGCACAATAATTTATGTTTGTTAACCCCCTCTTTATGCTCATGTTTACTTTTGTTCTTATTTCTCCCACAAATACATAGGTTACTGCCACCGATGGCGACGTAGATAGGCCAATGAGTATTGTATATTTTCTCACCGGCCAGGGCATCGACCCGGATAATACAGCAAATAGCAAATTTGATATAAATCGTACAACTGGCGATATTTTTGTACTAAAGGTAAGCGAATATATACGTATTTAAAGTTATTATTAATTGTTAGTATATTTTAAAACTAAATTAAATTATTGGTTGATATTTTTTAATATATTTTATGTAGTTAAGAAAAGATTAATATTTTTGGACTTTAAATTCCTAGGAAAACTCAAAAGACATATCACCTACCATAGAGGTGCCTGACGTTATGTTTATAGGGCTGAGTTAAACAAAACAGGAAGATAAAGTCAAATACTATACGATTCGCAGGAAAAAATTTCGTAAAGCTTTTAAGAACTTTCATTTTATTCCTTTTACAATTCTATCTACCGATACTCTAAGTAAATTTTTCCTCAAGATTAATCTTATGAGATATTTGGACCTTCGAAAGAACTGCTATACTAATTTGTCGAAAAAAGTCTGTTCTTAACAACCAAAATAATAATTTGTGACTGCTATTTCGCCATCTAGCGCGAGTAGTGACCTTCGTCTTTCCCTACAGCCAGCGGTATTACAGCCAATAATAGCAAAGCTCTAAGTGCTCTCATCTATTCTGACAACAAGACACAGTAAGAGTAATCACTGTCTCTTGGTTTGTTGAACTACGAAATGTTACAACTATGTAATGAGATTGATTCCATAAAAACCGTATATTTCAAAATAATTCTACAACTCTGCAATCCTCAAAAGTAGTCCTTTTGGGTAACTATACAACGTTTCCAGCGCGTTTTTTATGCTTCTTAACCTTTCTGGAACGCTTCGACTAGATGTCCGCGAGTACCATCGTTGCAGCCTCCTGGATTTCCTCAATCGACTCAAAATGGGTATCTTGACCACCGATTTTGTTCTAGGGGCGAATAATGCATTTGTTGTTGAAGAGGCCAAATACTGGGACACGCTGAGGGCGGTGTGACACGGCGCGTTGTCGTGAGGAAGGATCCAGTTATGAGCGTTGTCTGGGTGCACCGTGCTGACATGTTTTCACAATTTTTCGAGTACTTGGCGATAGTAGGCTTGATTTACACTTTTCCCAGATGGACGATTACATGGCTATCAAAATAAAACAATAATCATCGTTTTTACCTTCGACTCCGCGCTTCACCTGGGCATGACTAAGAGCACTACCATTTTGCCCGATTCGGCGCAAAATTTTATCGCGACGTTGTGCTCTTGATATTGTTTTTCCATTTTTGTGACGAGCACCACGAACACACTTTTACTCAGCATGGCACAGCAGGTGAACTAAACAAGCTAGAGCAATGGTAAATATATCAATGGAGTGGAAAAGGATGCCGTGAGAAGGGAAAGGGAAGGTCGCTGGATTACCGCAATCGCGGATATATAATCAGTCTCATTACTTAATTGTCACACCTCGTATGAGAATGTCACCGTATATCTCGTATCTGCCGCATTTTCTCTCAAAAGCTCGTAGTGCCGACTTACCGAACGCTTTTTTCATTCTTGCCTCTGTCACAATATAGCAGTACGGGAATAACACGTATGAGGAAATTATAGTCTTGGTTTTGTTCAATAGAGAGTACTTGTTGCCAAGATGTAGATTTCAAAGCTAACATACGCACAAAATGCAATGTCCAATTTGGACTGCATTACTAATGGCGAATTTGGACGCCAATGGCATCAATATAATCAGTGTACCTCACCTCTCAGTTGTTTATTCTTATTACGATAAGGCGGCTCCTAATCTGGCGGAGCTTTTTACGTTACTCACTTACAACTTGCAGAGCTGTTTTGAAATCGATGAAGAGGTGATGTATGCCTATTATCTTTTCACGGGTCATTTTTAAGATTTGGCGCAAGGTGAAGATCAGGACAGTGGATAATCTACATGGTCTAAGGCCGCCCTGTTAAGGTCCAATCAGCTTGCTGACGGTATGTTTTAGTATCAATTCCTTTCTTCTTTGAGTTTTAAGTGGATCATTTCTTTCGAACATCTTCATATACGGGCAATAAAACAATTGTTTGATCGCCATCGCCTGGTAAATCGGTTTAATTATCTCCCTTTGTTTCAATTAGACTGCCATTCAATATACTTTAGCTACCTGTCGCTAAGTCGCCGCATTTTTCTATAAAATTTTCTAGCACTACCGCTGTCGGCCATCTTCCCAAGTTTTTTTTTGGCATATATGTCTCGCTTTTCTCTTTTCTATCCCACCACACATATGTATGAAACACCGAAAGATATGCCCCGATATTGCCATAATTAAATCTTTATTACAAATTTCCATTCTTCTCACAAAACAGTATGTGAAAATATTATCCAATATCCTATAATTACATGTGTGTATGCATAAGCTCCAGCTAAATTAAAAGTTTGTCATGGTGACTGAACACATCGGTAATACAAGTGGGAGAACACATAACCTCGCCTAACTTTAAGCAAATTTGTGACAACAACACTTGTCTGTGGGCGTGTTGACAAGTGTCAACAATGAAATTTTGGGTAACATATACACATATACATAAGTACTTATTCTTTGTTAGCGTTATTTTAAATTTTTCTTTTTCTCTTGATATTTTTCGATACGCATTGCAGTCATATCTCGATAACAAATGAAATATGTATGTACATATATGTGTGTGTGTGTGTATTGTACGCATATGCATTTGGGAATTTCACTTACGCGTTGATGGCGACTTTTGCCAAAACGTGATGTTGACAAGCGGAATTTTAATATTGAAAAATTCCAAAGTTTCCACCAGTTTTGGCATACGAATACAATTGTAAATGAGAATGAGCCAAAAATCATGTAGTGTCATGCAGAGAGCACTGAGACTGATGTGTACGTGTTTTTGTTCATATGTTTAATTTATTGCTGCATGCCGAAAGTCTTCCCAGTAAGAAATGTGGTTAGCCCGTTATGAGTCGGGATGTGGTCTAGTGTAATTTTGAATTCTGGTTTTTATCTCTCCTAAACATGAAAGGGTATATTAACATTGACCGGAATTATGGGAGTATCAGAAGTTGAAAAGATAGACACACAAAAATGTACATCGACCGGTTCAGAACGGCACGCTTATTTGATGTGGACATATCTGTCTGTCTGTCCGTCTGTTTGTATGAAAAGAACTGCCGCAGCTTTCCAAATATTTCTACCAACACACATTTAAGCGATTATTTTGAACTGATCTGACCGGACCACTACAGCATACATACATATGAGAGTGTACAACGGATTTTTCGGATTTGAGATTTTGGTTTATAAATTGGTCAAGAAAGTACCTAAGAGTGTGATATTAGATGTTTAAATATGTGTATATGAAATAAATAACACATTGGTATTGAAAATTATCGAAATCGGAAAACCAAAACATATGAAGTCTTTTCCAATAAGAGGTGTTATTTTGAATAGCCTGCTTTTCCGATAAATGAGCTTTTGAGCTGTAATTTTTTGATTTTTGACAAGTAAAAAATATGTCAACGACAAGAATGAAACGATAGATGCTTCACCAACGCACTGAAGTTATTCAAATTTACTATAAAAATTTCATCGAAAAATCATCTTGACTTATAAGGCCCATTTCCACCTCGCGGCCTGAGTCAATAAGCAAAACTGTCGTATCTGGAGTTCGGAAAACCAAAGATTTATTATCTGAAAGCCTACTAATCTCAACGTGTAACTGTTTAGTGGGGTTTATGGCATAGCGGAGTCATTGGACCTTACGTTTTCGAAAATGAGGATATAGCAACAGTTACAGTGGTTGCACTGCGCTAACGAGAGATGATTACTGATTTTTTATGGCAGGAATCGGTTGGTGTTGACCCGAACAAAACTTACTTTCAACAAGCCGTACAAACAACGAAACCATCGATCTTTTAAGGGCAATGCAAAAAAAACAAGGTGATCGCAATTGGCTCCTCTACCCCGATATGTTCAGATATGGGGCTCCCGTCACACACGTCATCCACATTAAAATGAACATTGGTGAAAATTTTCAAAATCGGAAGAGAATATTACAAAAGCCCGCATACAAAAGATTTTTTCAGATATTAGAATTCTGTAACTGTAAGAACTTTGTTTGGCCAGAGACATCACTTCCTTCATTCCTTGCACTAAATTGCTAACTTTTTCTAGAGCATTTATATTTAAAAGACTGATTTTGATTCCATTAATGACGCAGAGTTGTCTCTATACATTGGCTTACCTTATAAAGTAAGATTGATCTTACGTGTTATTCTCAACTAAATCAACTTTTCTCAATAATCTTGCATAAATTATTTGCTACCTTGTGCGAACACATAACGTATTTTATGAATCAATAAAATATATATATCCATAATACAATATCTTTATGAAATTATTCGGAAGGTCACTAATCGAGTCCTGGTCTGACCAACATCTACAAATGAATGTCGATCCCTCTGCATGTATTTCTAACCTCAGATAAATCCAGTGGCTGGTTGGCGCAGCATTACTATTTTATATACTTTAATAAATCTCTACATCCATTTGAATTCTCAAAAAAGTAAAAATTTTTAATTTTCTTTACCAAAAAAAAAAACTAATATGAGATTTAGGTTAGTTTGCAAAGCATGACAAATCAAATATATCCATTTTTTGTTGACTCTTTCATTAAAATTTTATTTTCGTCTGCATAATCCATTGCTTGCAATAATTGTTTTGTCTCGTGTCCGAGTTTCGTTGGCCTTGCTGCACTTCTATGTCCAATAACTGGGCCAGCGCATGTCAACGCGCTTGAAAAGTGGACGCGGGATAATATTGCAAAGGCTTAAGTGCTATTTGGCTTAGAGTAGCACATGGTGAGTATTTCGTATTTTCACTATTTCATCAAGCCAAGCTGTCAGCCATAGTCTGGTGTTTACTGAATGGCAGCGAGCAATGAGTTTTTCGTTTAATATAAAATTCTTGGCATTCATATACTCGTGTATATATTTTTAAGATTTTTTATTGGAAACCTAAAAAAATTTTGACATTATTATTTTTTATGATTGAAATATGCAATATGCAAAAAGAGAGCAGACAGTTTTTAACATCTCACAACCATCGAATTTTATTAAGCCACGAAACTTTTATAAACACACAAAGCTTATACGGTTACCTGGCTCATAATTCAGAGACCTGCTGTATTTTCGACGATTTTACTATATAAAAGACTCTCGCTTTTCCTCTCAAAATGCCGATTCTCGCATTACTTTAAAACAAAATATACATTTCGTAAAATTTTTTTGGTTTTCTATCAATGAAAATTCTGGTAGCTTCACTTATAACCCGCCGCTGTAGGGAAGTGTTAGTGACACGAAATGATTCTCAATCATGATTACACCCAATATACGAGTCTAGACCAATCTTGATACTAAAGGGTGATTTTTTGGCTATTATCTTTTTGCCAACATTGCTTTAAGCAGCTGACGCACGTTGTATCACTGCCAAACATCTTCAGTTTGGCATATAATTTAACAAATACTCGTCTTACAAACGAACAACGCTTGCAAATTATTGAATTTTATTATCAAAATGCGTGCTCTGTGCAGAGAAGGTGCATTAATAAGCAAAATTGTCGATTTTGGAGTGAGCAGCCAGAAGCATTACAAGAGATACAAATGCTTCCAGAAAAAGTCACAGTTTGGTGCGGTTTATACGCTGGTGGCATCATTCGGGCGTACTTCTTCAAATATGATTCGAATCGTAACGTAACTGTGAATGGTGAGCGCTACCATCAGAAGATATCAAAATATTTTATTTTTGCCCAAAATGAAAAAGCTTGACTTGCATGACATTTGTTTTCAACAAGACGGTGCCACATGTCACACAGCCCGCGTAACAATGAAGTTATTTAGAGGCGAGTGCGGTGAACATTTTATTTCACGTTCAGGACCGGTCAATTGGCCGCCTAGCTTGTGCGATTTAACGCCTTTAGACTTTTTTGTGGGGTTATGTTCAATCCAATGTCTATGCAGACAAGCTCGCTTCAATTGCCGTATTGGAGGACAACATTGAATCAGTTGTTCGTGAGATACCGGCCAAAATATCTTTCCAACAGTGTCAAAAGCTAAAATTGGACTTAGCGGATGGACCATTGGAGGCGCAGTCACGGTCAACATGTGTATGAAATAATCTTCAAACATTAAATTATATTAACCGTACTATAGATTCAAATAAAGATTCCATGCATTTTTCTAAATTTTATGTATTTTTCTTTTTAAAAACTTTCCTATAGCACTTAAAAAATCCTTTACTGGGGATCACTAGAGTATTTCTTTTGGTAGTCAAAGAATGAGTGGCGTTGTAAAATTGTGAGATTTTTTACGATTTCCCTAAGAAATCTTAAGTTAAATGTTCTTGAAGACTTAAATCTGTTGTCCCCTGAACGTTTTTCATTCGCAGCACATTCTTCTGCTACGCATTTCATACTGAAAACCTTTATTGACATATCATGATGATGATATCGTGATTCGGCACTCTATTTTATGTCGTAGACAAAACTACATACATCCAAACTATATCGGCAATGGATTAATTTCAAACACTATTAGATCAGACAAGGCCTGAGACTTTCTTAACCTAACTATCTGATATTCCAGAAATAATGGTTTTTAAACAATATTTTGAAGGATGCAATACTATTTTCAAAACTTAATTTCTATATCAGAAATATTCGGTGTTGCTAACAGATTTCTCAAAATTAGCAAGGACTTGATTTCGCCTCCGATTTCCTAATAACATCTTGGCCAATCCAAGAAAAAATCGGTGCAGTCAGTAGTATGGAAAAGTTGCGGAAATTCAGCGGTTTTAAGGCAATATGGCAGTACTTGGTAAAAGATTCGATAAGAGTATTAAGCCATGGAGGTCAATTGTGCGATGCGCTTTTTGAAGTATCTTGGTTAAAATCAACCTTATTTTTCATTCCAGTTCTTCACTTCGCAATCCTCCTTTAATTCACACTACGTCATTAATTTCTGGTGTTATAAATATATCAAGGAGCAGACCCAGTCACACGTTGCTGGGACTTCCTGTATTTTTTTATAATTTCGATATTATACAATAATAGAAGGTTTAATGAAAGTATTACCTGAAAAATGATGAAAAATTCTAATAAGGCTTTAAAGGAAAAATATTAAATTTCTTATTATAATTTTGATATGCCTACATATTTGTTGTTACATAAGATCAGCAAACAGACTATAATTTCAAGCAAATCGAACTTTGCTTCTGACCTCTGATCCATTTTCGGATATGCAACATACTGTAAATTTCTATGGAAAGAAATAAATATGTATGTATATATACGTGTATCTAACAAAACTCACAAAAATCGAACTATGATTTTCTATAACTTTTGTATGTTGGTCGCAAGTGGATTTGGACCCGAGCCTTCCGAATGGCAGTAATGGCAATGCTAGCTATTTGGCTACCGCAGTCACCACTCGGCTACTGGCTTACTTGCTAGAAAAAAAATAATTTCAAGAAAATAAAGCCATAAGTATGATTTATTCAAATAGGCTAGTACTTGTGCACCTCTCGGTAATATTTATCTAAAAACATTTTCGAGAGCCATAGCAGCAAACAGATGATTTTTCGGCATAATCTGCCGGGTAGTTTCGAAGAACCTGGAAAACTAACTAAAATTGTCATAAAATAATTAAACTTTTTATAATTGTACATAAAATAAAACAAGCAAATTGAAATTATTCATACGAAATTCAAAATGAATTTTTTTAGGCAAAATTTGATATTTAAAACCATACTAAATACGCCCTGATAACCAACTTGAGATTTTTTTTAAATTTTTATACATACATACGTATTTTGTTGGGAAATACTTTTATATTTGAAAAATTCCTAATTTATTTTTATTTTGGCTAAAGCTTGCGTAATGCATATAATTTACAACTTCCCATATTCCCTAAAGCTCTTATGAAGAATACAAACATTTCAATTCAATCTTTTTACTCTCTCTCTCTCCCTCTTTCTCTCTCTCTCTTTAATGCTGCCACTGGGAAAACTTTCAATCAACCCATCTACTACAGCCACTTGACCGTGATCAGCCACACGGTAGGCCACAATGGCGATTTACAGTCTTCGCACAAGATGAAGGTGGCGAAGGACTAGTGGGATACGCTGATATACAAGTTAATCTAAAGGATATCAACGACAATGCACCACAATTCCCACAAGGCATTTACTTTGGTAACATAACAGAGAACGGCACAGCCGGCTTGCCAGTGATGACAATGTCAGCCGTTGATTACGATGATCCCAACGAGGGCACAAATGCCAAACTTATTTATTCGATTGAAAAAAATGTGATTGAAGAGGAAACAGGTGCGGCGATATTCGAAATCGAGCCAGAGACGGGCGTGATAAAGACTGCAGTGTGCTGTTTAGATCGTGAACGCACACCGGACTACTCCATACAGGTGGTGGCGATGGACGGTGGCGGACTGAAAGGTAGGTGCATAACGCGAAGTTAAATACTCTACTAGCTTTATATTTCTTATTTTTGAATGCTTAAATATGTATATACATTTTTGTGATTTATGTGATCCTGTAGGTACCGGCACTGCATCGATAAGGGTTAAAGACCTGAACGATATGCCACCACAATTCACGAAGGACGAATGGTTCACCGAGGTGGACGAGACCAACGGCACGGCCATACCCGAGTTGCCGATACTCACAGTGACCGTGCAGGATGAGGATGAAACGAATTCATTTCAGTACAAAGTGGTGCCGAACAGTGGCTTTGGCGCCGAGAAATTCGCCATGGTGCGAAATAATGATGGTACGGGTTCCTTGAAAATCACACAACCGCTCGATTATGAGGATCCACTGCAAAGTAGTGGTTTCCGATTTCGTATACAAGTCAACGATATGGGTGATGATAATGATAGTGACAAATATCACGTAGCTTACTCGTGGGTGGTGGTCAAATTGCGTGATATCAATGATAATGAGCCACATTTTGAACGCGATCATATCGAAGTAGCCGTCTACGAAGACACTAAAGTGGGTACAATACTAGAGCAGTTTCGTGCAACAGATGCCGATCAGGGTGGGCATAGTAGAGTAACTTATCGTATCGTACGTGCCACAGATAAGAAACGTCAATTCGCCATCAGTACAAAGGGTGCGGTTAGCGTGCAAAGACCGTTAGATCGTGAGGAGACCGATCGGCATTTTGTGCAAATACTTGCTGTAGATGATGGTAATACGCCGCGTACTGCGACTGCCACAATGACGGTAATTGTAAAGGATGTGAACGACAATGCGCCAGTTTTCACGAAAGATTATCGGCCAGTATTGCCGGAGAATGTGTCGCCGCGAAAAATTGTAGAAATCCAAGCGAAAGATGCCGATGATCGAGCACGGGGCAACGGTGGACCATTTACGTTCCGGCTGGATCCGCTCGCCAGTGATGTCATACGTTCGAGTTTTAAAGTGGAGCATGACAGACGTGAGTATTCTTAATAGACATATAAAAATTGATTCGTTTTACGCTACTGAAGGGATATGAAATAAGTGCCCATGATACAGATTATAAATTTTGTATATGCTTAAGAACTCCTTTAATGCCCTAGGATGAGAAGTATTTCAGCAATTTAGTATTTCGTTACAAATATAAGCTCACTTTTTCAGCGTCCGCAAGTCTAGGTCCTATTAAAAGAGAACGATAAATGTAACTCATCTTTCTGACCATATCTTGAAATTTGTTTAAGTTTATTTTCATATGATTTCTATTACATCCTTTTAGCTTTGAAGGCAGGTCGCCAAATCGAAATATCAGAACTAAAGTCCTTGAGTCAAAACCACGAAATTAAGTCCTAAAAATTCAAAAAAACTATGAGGGACTTGTAGAGTTTAATTTTCGTTCGTTGGGAGTGGACTTTACTTTTCAATTGCCTACAGGAGTCCAAAGTAGCACCTGTTGCCAAGAGTGCTTCAGCGTTAAATTTCCAGGCTAAAATTATTGTTAGTGTTAATATTGGTTTCAAAATTGACGAAATTATCTACGACTTCAAAGTTTTGACCTATAACAGTGTCGTGGGAGCCATGTCAGCTCGGTATTTCGGGCTTAGCATCCCCGGCTTGAAATATTCTGTAAGTCGTGGTATCTTTTCATAAAATTTTCGAGCATTACCCTTGTCGACCAGCTTCTCAAGCTCTTCATACGAATGCATCTCGGCCTCTTTCCTTTTTTGTCTGCTGATGCGTCTTGCTTTCTTCTTCAGCTCTCGGTATCTATACCATCCCGTACGCATTATGGTCGATCCCAAGGTTACGAGTTAGACAGTCTGTTTTCTTTCCACTGCGGAACGGCAGTTCTCATCGTACCAGCTGTTTTTGCGATCCTTACGAAATCCAATAGTTTCGTTTGCAGCTGTACGTAGGGACCTTGAAATGCCGTCCCTCCGTTCCCGTAAACCGAGTTGCTGATGAGTGCTCTTACAAAGCATGAGTGCAAGTCGAGTAGGAACTGGTTCGGCAGTCTATTGTGATTGCTGGTTTTCGACGTCGAATTTTCTTTGTGTCTGTTGACGGGCGTTCTTCGATACACAGAGGCGGATGCGTATCTTCGCTGCAACAAGATAGTGGTCCGAGTCGATGCACGCACGTCGAGAACACTAGAGACGTGTCTTCAGTCTATCACAACATAATCGATCTGGTATTAAAAATTTCTCTTTGATGCGGATTGTGGCGAAAGGATCATCCACCGGGGTGAATGTCAGTACTCAACGACGTTTGGAAGGGTCGTCATTGTCAGGGTGCTGATTTTTATGTGGCGGGTCCCTAGCCCAGCTCACAAAATCGTTGGACGAGTGAGTTTAAAGTTTGTATACATTTATATATAGAGCTGTTCTGGGGAACAGACGCTGCAATGACTTTAGCAGCCCTTAAATTGAGTGGATCATAATGGCTCCATTGAAGCTTCCTCTTTCATTAGCCGTGACCGAAAGCTCCACACGGGTCGGTTACCGCATCTTGCACAAGGGTTGCTCCCGTTTCCAAGGTAGGCGACGTGGACGCATTTTACATTGCAACAGAGCTTGGTTGTTAATTCAATTTATATTGCTCTGGATTTATTCGTATCCAATTACATATTGCCGTCCTTTTTCATAGAATAGCTTAAAAAAATATAATAGTAGCTGCACCTATTATTCGACATCTCATGTAACTCAGAAACCGTTATCGGTCTCTTAATGGTCCTTGTTCATTTCAAAAATTTGAATGCCTTAAACATTTTTCCCCAATTTCCACTTCTGAAGATAAATTTTAATATTTTTATTTGCTAAATAGTTTTCTTTGGATTTCCCGTAAAACAGAAATCTAATTTCCTTCAACGCATAAATATTTTCGGCAATTTCAAATCAAATGTCTCTTTTCTGCAGAAAAGAAATTGTTTTCTCCGTAATTATGATATTTATCCATTAAGAATGGTTGGACTTAATTGCTTACCAGCCATGAGCAATAAGGAGCCATAAACTTTTAAGAAGAAATAAATGGAAATTTGGAAAAGTCAAAGTAGACAAATAAATTTTGAAATAATTTGAAGTGTCCCAAAACTAAAATGCATTTCAAATTGCCGTCGATTGCAAATACTCCGATAACGGTATATCTATACTCACAGTTTAAAGCGTTTAATTAGAGCAATTACTTTGCAATCATTTCATGGCCAGATGGCAGATGAGTATAGCTTTAGGCGTTTACTTAACTTTATTTCACTCAGCCAGCAAAAATTTATTATTTTCTCATTTCTCTCTTCAAATTTACATTTCATACAAACCAACAACAACATCGTTCGAAATGGGGAAAATAAACAAACTATCCAACAAAAACAAAAAACAAAAATACGAAAAACCAACGCAAATCCACTTAAATGTGACTGACAATCAACAAAATTAACTCGTGCTGCTCGCCGAAACGCCAATATACACCAACCAACCAACCTATTCACCATCCCTTTGCCTTTCCATCCATCGCCGCACCGTCAACATGTAAACAAAATAATTTCGTACACTTTCTTACCGCAGGCGGCGACAACGGCAATGGCATAGCAATTGTCTCCTCGCTACGTCCCTTTGACCGTGAACAACAGAAGTCCTACCTCATACCAATCGAGATTAAGGACAACGGAACACCGCCCATGACGGGCACCAGCACTTTAACTGTCATTATTGGCGATGTGAACGATAATAAAATGCTGCCGGGCAGCAAAGATGTCGTTGTCTACAATTACCAAGGACAATCGCATGACACGCAAATAGGACGCGTGTACGTACACGACCTAGATGATTGGGATGTGCCGGACAAGAAGTACTATTGGGAAGCACAAGAACATCAACGTTTCAAGTTGGACACAGACACCGGCATCGTCATGATGCGTGCGGGCACCCGTCGTGGACGCTATCAGCTGCGCTTCAAAGTCTACGATCGAGAACAGGGTCAGGTGGATGTGCCGGCGAACATGACTGTGGTGGTGCGTGACATCACACATGAGGCGGTCCAGCAGGCGGGCTCAATGCGGCTGGCTGGCATCAGTGACGAGGACTTCGTGCGCGTATGGGACTATACACAGCATAAACTACAACGCTCTAAGCTCGAACGGTTTCGCGAAAAACTAGCAGAACTTCTGTATACAGATCGGGAGTATGTGGATGTGTTCAGCGTACAGCTCAAATCGGAGCATCCTTTATTGGCGGACGTACACTTCGCTGCGCGTTCACCCACACAACAACCTTACTTTAAAGCCGTGCGACTGAACGGTGTAGTGCTCATGCATCGTGAGGAGATTGAGAAGGAGGTTGGCATTAACATCACTATGGTGGGCATTGATGAGTGCTTATACGAGCGACGGCACTGCGAGGGCTCCTGTACTAATAACGTAGAGATACATAACCGTACGCCATACACAGTGAGTGTGAACAAAACAGCGTTGGTTGGCGTGCGACTGAACACAAGTGCTGAGTGCGTATGCAAGGCGCGCACCTTTAGTCGGGAGGAAACCTGCCGCACACATCACTGCTACAATGGTGGACGCTGTGTGGACACGCGTAGTGGGCCCAAATGTGTTGCGTGTCCTGTCGGCTATAATGGCCCGCGTTGCCAGCAAACGACACGCAGTTTTCGCGGCAATGGTTGGGCTTGGTATCCAGCGCTGCAGCTGTGCGAGCAATCACATATTAGTCTTGAGTTCATCACCAAAGAAGCGGATGGACTAATACTGTACAACGGGCCAATAGTGCCACCCAAGACAGACGAGCAGCTGTTGCGTGATTTCATTTCATTGGAGCTCGAACAGGGCTACCCGCGTTTGCTTATCGACTTTGGCTCCGGCACATTGGAGTTGCGTGTGAAAACGAAAAAGACTCTAGACGATGGTGTCTGGCATCGCTTAGACGTTTTCTGGGATAGCGAGAATGTGCGCATGGTTATCGATTTTTGTCGCAGCGCTGAAGTTTTCGAAATGGAAGATGGCTCTGCGCCCGAATTCGATGACAACTCCTGCCAAGCGCGCGGCCCTATACCACCCTTTAGCGAAGCGCTAAATTTGAATGTGCCGCTCCAACTTGGTGGCATCTATCGCCAGCATTTCGACCAGACACTCTATCACTGGCAATATGCGTTCACATCAAAGGGCTTTGACGGCTGCATACGCAATCTCATACACAACTCAGAGCACTACGACCTGGCGTTTCCGGCGCTGGCACGCAACAGCTATCCCGCATGCCCGCAGACGGACGAAGTTTGTCTCAAAACCGATCACACGGCGCGCTGTTGGGAACAGGGCAACTGTGTTGCCAGCCTCGTACAGGCCAAATGTTATTGCCGACCCGGTTGGACAGGTCCCACCTGCAACTTACCCACCATACCTACCACATTCAAGCCGCAAAGCTATGTGAAGTTCGCGCTCAGCTTCGAGCCGGATCGCTTCAGCACTCAACTGCAATTACGCTTCCGTACCCGCGAACAGCAGGGAGAGCTGTTCAGAGTCAGTGATCAACATCAGCGCGAATATGCTATACTGGAACTTAGTCATGGCCATCTACAGTTGCGGTTCAATTTAAATTCGTTGCGTGCCGAGGAGAAATATCTGCAATTGAATGCCATTGCCGTCAACGATGGCCAGTGGCATGTGGTGCGTGTTAGTCGTTATGGCTCAGCAGCCATGCTGGAGCTGGATGGTGGCGAGGGTCGACGCTACAACGAAACTTACAATTTCACCGGTCATCAGTGGCTCTCCATAGATAAACAGGAGGGCGTGTATGCGGGTGGCAAGGCGGAGTATACGGGCGTGAAAACCTTTGAAGTGCAATCGGATTTTCAAAGGAGCTGCCTCGATGATATCAGGTGAGTGCGCTGCTGATGATAATTCAATTTGTATGTGGCATTAGTACAAATGCTTGTTTAGCAATCAGTTTGAAGGCGAAAGTGTATTGCGTTCAGCTAAAACGTTTTCTTGATTGATAGACTTGCGTCAACTTTAGCATTCATTCTCTATAGTATTTTCATCCATATTCTTGCTGGTTTTTGCCATTTATTCCTTTTGAAATGTACTGCTCTATAATATTTTTCTTTCATTTCACATTTTCATTTTCATTTCGATTCATTTCTTTTTCCCACTGCGTTAGATTGGATGGCAAACACTTGCCGCTGCCACCTTCAATGAATGGCACACAATGGGGTCAGGCGACGATGGCGCGCAATCTGGAACGAAACTGCCCATCAAATCGTCCATGTTCGAATGTAATCTGTCCAGATCCCTTTGATTGTGTCGACCTGTGGAATGAGTACGAATGCACGTAAGTATTAAAACTTCACTTATCATGTAAATTTATTCACGACCATGGCACCTACAAACGTACATCTATGACGCCGTTGTATGCCAGGATGTAGAGAAAAGTATTCATAAATATGCAGACATTTATGAGTATTCATATATTAAGATTGTTTGCATTTTAGATTAAACTGTTTACTATTAGTAAAGTAAAGTATTGAACACTTACTACGTATGACAGTACGACAAAGGACTTATTTTTCTCTTCAATTAAAACAAACAAACTTTTATGAGAACAGTTTCTTAGAAGCTGTCATGAGAACCCATAATTCCACATTTCTCGTTGTATCGGTAGTATGAAAAACTATGTTCTTCATTTAGCAAATAAATATTAGTCAAGCATCAGGTTTTCCTCTGAAATTATGCAAGCGTCAGACTCTCATAGGTAGCATTTATGGCAATTATTAACTTCTATCAGATATCATTTGAAGGCATAGTCATATCAGTAAGCTATCTACTTTGCAAAGCACAGGTTATTTACTGTTCGTTAGATTTCGCTGATTGTGGATGATTCCTTGCCGAGTCCCACAGAGCACGCATCAAAACGTCCCTCTCCACTTCGTTTGTGTAGGCTCACTGTCCCACGATCACAACCTTTTACTTTCAACATTGCAGTAAGTGATAGTCTTTTCATTACCAGTTACCATCCGCTACAAAATGGCTCGATTTTGCGACGATTCAATAGAAAAGGAAATTCGATCCAAGAGTTTTGTTTCTTGTTAGCCTACGTGGTGTTCACATTGCACTTCCTTGTGCATCCAGCCCTTTACAAGTGGTTCCAAACTGACCTTTTACACAACATTTAACTCCTGTGCACAGTAGGTGCAAGAAGGTCAGATTGAGCATGATTGACTGTTGCAGCATCAGGTCTATAAACAGTATTCACATTTTCTGTGGTTTGATTTGTGAAAACGCCCTCATCGGAATATAGCATAGCTTCTTCGCTGGCCAGCTTTGACATGCGCTCAAACATTACTCATCAACTCTGCGCTCGTATCTTTTTTAGTACGAAATATTTTCCTTTTAATAACATCTAGGGTAATCATATCGCACATACAAATAATTAAAGTTATCTATAATGGTTTACTCTTAATTTTTCTCAACATTTCTTCTTGGAAGTCTAGGGGCAGTTAAACATTTTCCGTCCATAGCCACAAGATTCGCAGGTGGTGAATTCAAAATGACAATAGACGATATGTTGAATATCAATAATCCATTTTCTGCAGAAAAGAATTGGATTAGCCATCAAAACGAAGTTGCGGCTCGAAAGGGTTGAGAAAAGTACTAATTTTAAATCAACATCCTCTTGCACGTATGTAGTGCTCTCTTTACTCACGTTCTACTTGCACGATAAATTGCTGTGTAGTACAATGATCTGGTACTTAGTGCTTAATTTCGAGTGTAAAGTGGTATCTTTCAACTTTAGTTTGATCAATATTGGAATTTTAACAACAGTAAATTTAATTCAGTTTACTTTGCAAAGTTCGCACCGACCTTTGCTACAACAGTCACTGCCGCGCTGAAAACGTTCCAGTTTGCACCTGTAAGGTCAAGCAATCGTCATTGTCTTCTGGTAATATCGCGTGTAACCTAAGTGTTCACAGCTTAAGTACTCACTTTTATAAGTTGGCAAATACTAAAATGTTGTTTGAAGCCTCTACTTATGTATTAAATAAATTTCGTCAATTGGACGTTAGTGATGCTTGAAATGCAAAATTGACTTAAGAATAATAAAATTCTCTAATACATTTTCTTATGTTTTGAGGCTAAAATATGTTCGATTTGTTACATATATGTATTAGTTTTGTAGAATAGTTTACATTCAAATATATTTAGAAGCTGACATACAAAGAGTTGGATAAACATGTATACTCAGTATTTACAAATAGCTTTTTATGTGTAGAGTAGATTTAACGATAATTGAACGGCTAAGCTAAGCTAAAGCTATTCCAAAATACTTAAAATAAATGACGAAAGTGGAAAGGCGGATTATCTTGATGGTTGATAGCTGATAAGAAACAAGTTGATTAAATATTACTCTCCCAAAAGCTAGATAGTCGAGAGTACTCTGGTTGAACCGATCTGTCTACAAGATTTAATCAGAAATTTATCTTAATGATCCTGCCAGAGTAATAAGAACTAAATTCTTTCAGAGTAATAGCGTTCCTGCGATGCTTTTATATTGTTATGTTCAGCCGTTGTGGGGTGCAGTGTTTTAAAGAGTCCGAAGAACTGCAAAAGTATTTATGGGTTTGAAAGTCATAAGCACTGACTAAAATAAATTTCATTGATTATAGGCCCTCTATATTGAGAATTTGAAGTGAGTAGCGAGTGGTAGTTTTGAGGAGAAATACGTGAGAAACATCGTTGATATTGGACTGGTATCGTTTGATTATGCGAGCAACTTAAAAATATATCCAAAGACTGGCATGAAATCACAAGTTGACGTCATCCTCGAAATCGTAATCTTGTGTATCCCGTGACTCCCTTTACTCATAAATATGTACTCCTAAAACCCTTATCTGGCATGACGCGCAACTAATCAGAAGAAGTCACTCAAGCCCATTTTCGAAAAATAAAGCGTTAGTTTAGTTATTTTATCAGCTCCCCGAACTTTTTGCTCTTAATAATTTAACATTTTTTTACTGTTATGTATGTAGGCATATTATTCTAGATCACAACAATACAATACAATAAAGCACCTTCCATGGCCTTATAAATACAATTATAAAAAAATATAAATATACAAATTAATACAAATAAAAATCTATATTTAAAATTTCAGCTGCAGTGAGGGTCGCATCATGTCCGCCGATACAAAAGGCTGTGTCGACCGCAACGAATGCCTCGACTTACCCTGCCTTAATGGAGCTACTTGTATAAATCTCGAGCCACGCCTACGTTATCGCTGCATCTGTCCGGAAGGCTATTGGGGTGAAAATTGCGAATTGGTGCAAGAGAGTCAACGACTCAAACTGAGTATGGGTGCGATGGGTGCGATTTTCGTATGTCTCATTATCATATTAGGTAAGTGTAAAAATTCATTTTTGGATCACAAAATTATTGTAGCAGAGAGCCTAGAACTAATATGCACCGATCTCTATGCATATTTTAACAAACATTCCGTTTATATTTTAATATTAAATCTTTTCTTTCTCTAAATAAGAATTTCGAATCAATTAAATATATTTTTCAACTATCGCATTGGTGTTTATACTTCAGACCCATACGCCTCACGTCTCTCATGAATTCACTGGACAGGTTAATTAATATTCTCATAAGATCACTTCTAAATAAATAACAGGGGCATTCCAAAACAAACAGGATGCATTTAATAAAATAGAAATACTAAGGCTGAAGCAATAATACTCTGTCGCACGTCAGTAAAGAGGACACAGTAGATGGATACATGCGATTCTAAAGAACAGAACGAACATGGCATATAGCGTGTCAGGGAAATATTAGCAGAGGTAATTTTCTGGTTCTGTAGGTATAGGAAGAAAATTCTACCCAAACTCAAAGGAGACAGTGTGGAAATAGTAGCAAACGCAGATGTTCTTACGGTGATGGTATCTAGGTAATTTGCTTCTAGACTAAGCGCTTTTCACAAATAAAATCAAAATTCGGCTTCCTTTTTTTGAACTACTTTGCCTCCAACAGTAATCTGGTAGATGAATATAGCAAAATGAATAAGGAAGTCATCTGGGGTCACGTTTGTGCGTCAAAACTCAGCTTGAGCTAGGAATATAAACCAAATTTAATCTTTTTATTTGCGTCTACCAAACTCAGTTGTGTACTAATCTTAGCAAGATTATTGGGTTTATAATGAAACAATAGAGACTTAATGAATAAGATGGAAGGATAGAGAGAGCTAGTCGCCTACCCTGGCCTTATCATTGCCTACGATACATTTTTCTATCACTTGAATTTCGAGACATTGGAAAGTTTTTGCTAACGGAAAACCTAATCAGGTCATCAAATCAGGAGCAACTTTTGACAAATTTGAAATAAAGGTAAAATCATGTACCTTGAAACGATCGTTTTTATTATTTTTGTCCAGCATAAAATTGAATGAATCATAAAATAAAGAGCCACCCTGTTTGAAACCTTTTCTGGTGCCGAACGGTTCAGAGGTACTCTTCCCATTTTTTACAGCGCTTTTGATGTTGTCCAGTGTTAGTTTACAAAATAAAATAAGTTTTGTGGGGATACCAAAGTCAGACATAGCAGCGTAGAGACAGCCCATTTTCATACTGTCGAAGGCTGCTTTAAATCGACGAAGAGGTGGACCAGATCTAACCACACACTAATAAGATCCAATCATATTTTTAGCTAGTTTTTTAGTATTTCATACAAAGCGCACGATAAGACTTTATAGACGATATTTAGGAGACTAGTTCCACGTTAATTGGAGCCTACTGTGGGGATAGGCAGAGCAAAATCAAATTCCAGTGGTGAAGCAAGCTTTCGTCTGAAATTGTAATCTTGCATGCACATGTCAGCTCCTCACCACCATAATTGAATTTTTTTTTGTTCTATAAACGAACAATCGCTATTCGAACCTCGTCATAGGTCGATAATGGGAGTATATTGTATAGCACTAATACAATTCGTTTTTTCATATTGACACTGCAAGTCATCAAAATTTGTTATATACAGGAAAGATAAAATATTTCTGTCTTGCATTTTCTTCTATTCGACGAATGAAATTCCTATTCTTCTAGCCCACAAAGAGCAACCAAAATGTATTTACAAAATTAAAACATATTCTGCTTTTGAACAAATTTTAAAGACATAAAGCTGGCTGCAGTTCGGTTGATTTTGTTTCTGTTTTTAACAATTAATTTTCCCTCATTCAACTAGCACTTTATACGGCTAAACCATACAAATATAATAAATATAAAAATTGAATATTCCTAAAAAAAATATTTATTTTGTCCAAATCCCACTGTGGTACCTAAGCACAAGTATATATGTACATACCGGTATGTACGGACATATGGATATTAGACCAATCAATATTGAAAGCATTAAAGCGCCTTAATGCACATTTTAGTCGATTGATTAACTCATACGCCGCGGCGCCCACACACACAAGCTGCCCTTACTATGGCTGCTGGCCATAAGCTGCTTACTGTAGCTTTAATTTGGTAATAGTTTTGCATTGCAAATACATGAATTTCCGTAAATTTTCAGCGATTTTTGGTTAATTCCATATAAATGTGTGTCCTTTTTTTCTGAGAGTAACTGGCATTATATATTTATTTACTATCGAATTTGTAGTGATTACAGTTTGTATGAATATTAAATTATTACATGTGAGTTGTCGGAATTTTAAAACATTGAAATTTTACTGTTATGCCTGTTAACCAATAACAGTTAATAGCTTTTATTGTTGTGTTAATTAGCGCAGTATTTTGGCTTTCACGGAAGTTGTTTAAGCCAATATTTTAATTAACTCAATTATCTTCAAATATGCCAAACTTTGCAGCAAAACTTTTGTGAAAATCACTCAATAGATTTATGGCGTTATTTGTTATACTTCGTGTTAACTAAATGCTTATATTGTTCTTACTGACGCTTGTGGTGATCGGCAGCTGCATACCAACTGCTCACCTCTGCCAGATATATCATATAAATATATTATATATATGTACACACGCAGCCGCTAATAATTCTACAAAGTTTTAAGCTAATTACACTTAGCGGTATTTTTAATTGCTTTGCCACAAAATTCCAGTAAAACCACAACATCAAGCAACATTGAAGAGGATTTAATAGAAATAAAGTCCATTAGTCATCAAGAAGGGTCGATAAATAAAATTTGCTTACCCAACATTAAGCGTGAAAGTCATGCCGAGCAATTTTCATTGCACAGCAGTGGTGTGTAAAAATCGTACTTACTACAATTTAGAAGAAGCAATCAACCTTAATTTTGCTAAATGATTATGCGAGATTGCCTTTATAAAGCTAAATATCAAAAAAATACTAAAAATCATTAACAAGAGTTCGTTGGCTTTATTTAGTTATTCAGAGCATTTATAATGTTACTTGTTGTTGTTGCTATTGTTTCATTATGGCATACCTTAAAATAAAAAATTAAGCTAAAAAACAGAAAAAACTCCCAAAATGCTTACCAAAAAAAGCTTTAACACAAGGGAAGTAAAAGAAATCGTAATTTTTAACTTAAGCGATGAGCGAAAATCTCCCTTACTACAATATAAGGACAAACAATGGATAAAGCGCCAGCAAATGACATCAAATAACATAACACCGCCAAAGCAATCTCAATTGAAATCACTGGTTGGCCAGACGCGTCCAACCAAAACAGTGGAATCAAATAATAAAAATTTGCCAGACATTCTCAATAAAATTAAGATGTTCATTTTTATACATGCATTCCACATAATATTTGAAATTCATTTTATGCCGTTTAGTAATGAAAAAATATGAACAAAGGAATCCATTACGGCTTGCAGATGATTCACTTTGTGGCAAACCAATTCTCGAAAATGTCCAAAAAATATTGGAAATCGTTAAATCTGACCGACTGTTTCGTTTATCCGGGAGCTAAATATTGCACCAAAACAGTTTGAAACCAAAACAAAAAGGTAAGAGTGTTGTCACATGAATTAAGCGAGAAAACCCCTCATTTGTGGAGTTTATATCTTCGAATTACTGCTGAACCTTAATAAATCTACTAGTTTTTGAAATAGATGGTGAGTTGTGATAAGAAGTGTATCACTTGCAGCAAATGAAAATGGTCATGGTCGAAGGTTAGTAGCCGGCATAAACGGTATCCAAGCAAATATTGACGGCCAGGAGAGTTTTGTTGTGTGTTTCTTGAGATAGGCAAGGAATCATTCACGTTGCGCTAACCCCTACAGCCAAACTCTTCATTAAGACCAGCACTGTCAGAAGTAGGATCGTCTGAAGGAAGTAATCGGCCAGAAGCGCCCAACTTTGGTCGACAGAAGAGGAGAATTGTTTACATACATACACAGAACAGTTTATCCTTAACCAGCGATCTTCAATTCATTGGTGGAAGCAAAATCGCATCGGAAGATGATGAGGCATAAGCCGTTTATTCAGTTGTACCTTATTATGTCCTCATACCACTGTGTTTCTACAAAGACCTACGCAATGAAGTCGGAGTTTAAGGTAACGGTAGATGGCGCTCGAAAAATACTTCAAAATAACTTTATTGTAATATTACGAGAATAAAGAGCAAAAAAAATGTATTATATATAATCGATATAAAGTATTTTTGAATCTTTAACTTTAGGAAGAACGTACCAAAAATAATATTCTTTTTGCGTTGCCTTTTTTCACTCACTTTTACCCACGGTTGCTGCAGTCAAGGAAGCTACTATTGTTTGTCACGGTTGAATAAAAACCAAAACAAACAAAATTAGAATAAAAATAAAACGAAATGTGAAAAAATCCGCATAAAGAAACGACGAAAATTTGCAAAAAAAAATATTATCTACATGAAAATTATCCACACAGATATCAGGATCTACAGTCAGCTGTAGACACCATTCACACTTAATGAAGATAATTAAAAAACAAGCAGAGGTGTACATAACGTTGTTTTATGTAAAATAAAATAAAAAAAAGCTTCTGAAAACTGACTGTTTAGAGCAAAATATGCTGCAGTTAATTTCGATTACGCTAATAGAAGAGGGAGATGTGAAAACAGTGAATGAACTGTTAATTGCACACGGAGGCAATAAATGTAGCGATATCGTATATTCGTACGTTTAAGCGATATAACAGTATTTTATGAGTTCATGAACATTTAATGCTAATTGTGCACAACATGAAAGTGGAAATGAGTAAATGCAGAAAATTAATGGATTTTATTTACAAAGAGATTATTAAACTGTTTACTTTAGTATGGTGTACTGAATACATATTAATAAGAAAACTATGAGGAAGAAGAGCTACAAAAGATTTTAGTTCGTAGGAAAACAGTTATTAGAAATGTGTGCAAGATTTGATTTTATTTTGCACCTCTTGTGCGA